ACTAAGTGAGAATTTTCAAAGCATGAAGAGAAAAAAATTTTCTTTCATATTAAGGAACCCCCAGGGACTTCCCTGGTGGTCCAGTGGCTGGGACTCCACACTCCCAATGCAGGGGGCCTGGATTCTACCCCTGGTCGGGGAACTAGATCCCACATGCCGCAACTAAGAGTTCTCATACCACAACTGAAGATCCCACATGCCACCAGTAAAAGATCCCACACGCCACAACTTAGGATCCCACATGCTGCAAAGAAGACCCCGCACACAGCAGCAAGGATTCCGTGTGCCTCAGCTAGGACCTGGTGCAGCCAAATATAGATAGATAAATAGATAGATAGATAGATAGATAGATATTTTTAAAAGGATATAACACTTAAAAAAAAAAAGGAACCCCCATAAGTCTATCAGTGATATCTAAGCAGAATTTTTCAGCCCAGGAGATAATGAGATGATATATTCAAAGTGCTGAAAGAAAAAAACTGTCAACCAAGAATACTTTACCCAGCAAAACTGTCCTGCAGAAATGAAGGTAAGATAGACTTTCCCAAAAAAAGAAAAGCTGAGGGAGTTCATGACCACTAGAACCGCCTTACAAGAACTGCTGAAATGAGTTCTTCAAGCTGAAAGAAAAAGTTGCTAAGTAGAAACAGGAAAACATATGAAAATAGTATTACACACTGGTAAAGGTAAGTATATAGTTAAGAGTCACATTATAATATTGTATCATGGTGGTGTGTTAAACACTTAACTGTAGTATAAAGGTTACATGACAAAAGCATTAAAAATAGCTATAGCTACAAAAATTTGGTAATGGATACACAATATTAAAAGATACAAATTGTGACATCAAAAGCATAATGATGGTTGGGTGGAGTAAAAGGGTAGAGTTTTTTTATGCGATCAAAGTTAAGTTGTCATTGGCTTAAAACAGACTGTTACAGCAATAAGATATTTCACATAACACTCAAGGTAACAAAAAAAAGACTTAGATAAACACAAGATAAAGGGACTCAAAGTATACCACTATAGAAAATCATAAATTCACAAAGGATGGCAACAGAGACTCGGAAAAAAGAAACAAAGGGACTACAATACAGCCAGAAAACAATTGCAAGCAAGATGGCAATTCCAAGTCCCTATCAATAATTACTTAAATATAAATGTATTAAATTCTGTAATCAAGAGGCACAGAATGGCTGAGTGGATAAAAAAAAAATCAAGATCCAACTAGGTGCTGCAGAGAGGAGATTCACTTCATCTCCAGGGACACACACAGGCTCAAAGTGAAGACATGGAAAAGGATATTCCATGCAGATGAAAACTAAAAGACAGCACAGGCAACTACGCTTGTATCAGGCAAAACAGACCTTAATTCAAAAAGTTTAACAGCAAAGAAGTTAATTATGTAATAGTAAACAGTTCAGTTCATTCATTAAGCGGATATAATAACTGTAAATATATATGCACCCAACATTGGAGAACCTAAATACATTAGGCAAATAGTAACAGACTGAAGAGAGTAATAGACAACAATACAATAATACAAGGGGACTTCAACCCTACTTTCAACAGTGAATAGAAAATCCAGAGAGAAAATCAGTAACAAAACATTGGACTTGAACTATACACATGGAATGTGTATACACAAGTGTACACGGAATGTTCTCCAGGATAGATAATATGTTAGGTCATAAAACAAGTTTCAACAAATTCAAAAAGATTGAAATCACACCAAGTACCTTTTCTAAACACAAAGGTATCGACTAGAAATCAATAACAGAAAACTGAAAAGTTCAAAAACATGTGGAAGTTAAACATATAATCTAAAATAACCAAAGATGAAAACAAAAGGGAAATTTGAAAAAATACCTTGAAATAGAGGAAAATAAAAACACAACATACCAAAACTAAGGGATGCAGCAAAAGCAGTGCTAAGAGGGAACTTTATAGTGAGTAATGCCTGCATCAGAAAAAAGATCTCAAATAAACAATCTAACTTTTCAACTCTAAGAACTAGAAAAAGAACAAACTAAACCCGAAGTTAGCAAAAGGAAGGAGACAAAGAACAGAGTGAATACGTAAAATACAGAAACAATGGAGAATCAATGAAACCAAGAGTCGATTTTTTTGAAAGATAAAACTGACAAACTTTTACGCAGACTTAACAAGGAAAAAAGGAAGAGGACTCAAATTAATTAAAAATGATTGAGGAGGGCTTCCCTGGTGGCACAGTGGTTGAGAGTCTGCCTGCCGATGCAGGGGACACGGGTTCATGCCCCAGTCCAGGGGGATCCCACATGCCGCGGAGCAGCTGGGCCCATGAGCCATGACCGCTGAGCCTGCGCGTCCGGAGCCTGTGCTCTGCAATAGGAGAGGCCACAACAGTGAGAGGCCCGCGTACCGCAAAAAAAAAAAAAAAGGTTTACAGCAATTTGTAAATTGTACCTAGGTAAGCAGAATTGAATCATTTATCTTTTTCTCCCTACTTGATCCATCCAGAATTCAGAAACTCTCAGGAACAAAATCTCTACTCCCAGAGGAAAATATCAAGTAAGATGTCAGCCTCCACACACATACACAATTCTCAACGGTTTAGTGGAATTTCCTGGACTAGGAAAAGAAAGGGACTCCTTTTGCCCAAGTCAAGGAAACTTCTGTGGTGACAACTGAGGTGCCAGCTAGTTTTGCTATGCTCAAAGCTTAACTCCTCTCTCTGCCTATTTTTGAAAAAGGCCCAAGTCTGAGCTACGACAGATTCTCTGGATTTCCTGGCACATGGACTGACCTGCACCCTCCCATCCTGCCAGATCCCTTGTACAAAGACCTCAACCTTAACAGTTCTTTTACCTTATCCAGAAAATAAACAAACAATATCCCCTTCCCCTAATACAAAATAAACAAACAGAAAAATTAAAATAAAAAATAAAATAAAACTCAGGGCTTCCCTGGTGGCGCAGTGGTTGAAAGTCCGCCTGCCAATGCAGGGGACGCGGGTTCACGCCCCGGTCCGGGAAGATCCCACATGCTGTGGAGTGCCTGGGCCCGTGAGCCATGGCTGCTGAGCCTGTGCATCCAGAGCCTGTGCTCCACAACGGGAGAGGCCACAACAGTGAGAGGCCCGCGTACCGCAAAAAAATAATAATAAAAATAAATAAATAAAACTCATATGGAAATGCAAAGGATTCAGAATAGCAAGAAGAAACTTGAAAAAGAAGTACAAAGTTGAAGGACTGCATTACATGATTTCAAGACATATTATAAAATTATATTAAGACTAAGATATTTGCAAAAATATAGATGAAAAAAGTACAGAAAAAGAGTAGCACATATAAAAGCAACTGATTTTTGAGAAATGTGTAAAGGCAATTTAGTGGAGAAAAGATAGTTCTTTCAACAAATGTTGTGAAGCAACTGAATATCATTTTTTTTTTAAAGAACTCTGACTCCAAACCTTACACAGTGCATTATAATTGACTCAAAATGGATTATAAACCTAAAACTGAAAACCTCCATTAGGGAGCATAAGAGAGAATCTTCTTACCATGGGTTAGACAAAGACTTTTTACATACAATCCAAACACATGTTCAATAAAACGAAAAAAACAATATATTGGACTTTATTTTATCAACATTACAATTTTCTGCCATAGGAAAGACTGTTAAGAGAATGAAAAGCCAAGCCACAGGCTAGGAAACTGTACTGGCAAATCTCATACTTAATTAAGGACTTGAATCTAGAATTTAAGAAATCTGAAAAATCAGTAATATATCAGAAAAAGATTTTAATAGGCAAAAGATCTGAACAAACACTTAACCAAAGAAAACAGAGGGATGGTAGTAAGCACATGTAAAAATTCTAAACACTGGCCATTAGGGAAATAAAAAATAAAGTCACAGAGAAATACCACTACACACCTAAGGAAAATGGTTACAATCAAAAACACTGACCACACCAAGTGCTGGTAAGAATATAGAGCAAATAAAACTCTCATACACTGCGGGTGGGAATGTAAAATGGTATAACCACCTTGGAACAGTTTGTCAGTTTATAAAAAGATATACATTCACTTACTCTTTGACTCAGTGTATTTATCGTGTTCTTTATTTTCCATATTTTTTGATGTTTTGACATCTTAAAAAGCTTGCTGGAAAGACCACCCCTCCCAGGACTATCCCATTCTTGAGACAGCAAAGGGTTTAGCCAGAAGTACGTCTCTAATGTACAAACCAACCGATCCAAATCTATAGCCCCAACCACCAAGTCACAAAGCCAATATTTCCCCTGCCCTAAATCAACACAAGGCCAGGTACCAGACAATCTGAGACCAGTTCTCTAGTCCAAAACCTGCTGTCATTATTCAAACTAGCCAATCCTAAGCTGTTTACTCTGCCTTGCTCCTCCCACGAAAACCCCAATAAAGGCTGTGGCCTCTGCCTTCCCCTCACTCTTTTCTGCCTCCTGACAAACAGTGGTGATCTCCATGTAGCCCTATGTGTCCTTTCCCTTGGGAAATGTAATAAAATCTTTCAATGGTATTAACATCTCTGTGTTAGCACTCAGTCACTGCATAAATTAAAATGCTCTGGGCACAAATGAGACATTCAAGCCTTTTACTCCTAAGTATTGGAACATGAACAAAAAAAAGAACAAAGAGCATCACTCATCATCCAGTTACACAGGGGTTAAGCCACAACCCACTGCAGTCACCACCAGCAGTGTACCTTGAGGGGAATTCAGGATGAAAAAACAGGATGAGTCACTCTGTGCTTTGGATAAATGGTCCCCTAGATAATTAGATGCATATCTCAGGAAGAACTTTAGTGACCCCAGATTCTTGCATCTTGTCATACATAGAAAAGCACTAAAATCATTAACTTGAGATATCTGTTCTTTGTGATTAGCAGTAATCTTTTACCAAGATGTATGCTTGACTACATGTATTTCCTAGCCAAAAAATTCATATATATACTGGCTCCTCCCCTACGTTTTTGGAGCAGTTCCTCAGAGCTGTCTCCTGGGCTACAGTCCTCAGTAAGACCCTGAATAAAACTTAAACTCACAACTCTTATGTTGTGTTTTTCAAGTTGACAAACCCAAGAGAAAGCCTAGTACATGAATGTCCATAGCAGCTTTATTTGCAGTAACTCCAAACTAGTATCAATCCAAATGTCCATTAAAAGATTAATAGAAAAACAAATTGTGATATATCCATCAAGTAAATACTACTCTCTAATGAAGCAAATAAAGTACCCATACATGCAACATGGAGAAAGCTGAAAATAATTATGATACGTGGAGGAAAAAAAGGCAAAGAAGAGTAAACATCTTGTTATTCCATTTATACAAAATTCTAGAATTGGAAGTTTTTAGTGAAAGACATGAGAATGGGGAGCTAGGGCGGGAGGACAGGAGGGATTATAAAGGAGGATAAGGTAACTTGGAGGGTGATGAATTTGTTAAATTTGTTAAATATCATTTGTTAAATATCATTAAATCATATATGTATAATGCCCATACATGACAAAACATCACATTTTACACTTTAAATGTACACAGTTTCAAAAAATCTGAATCTCCTGCTTCTCTTGAAGAACTGGAATATTTGACAAACATATTGACTTGACCATAACTATTCTCAGCCCTCTGGTGGGACACCCCTACTTCAATGGAAGGAAAGAATAGCAAGCAATAAAGACTGTGAGTCACAAAAGTCACATTCTTGGACTACAATATCCCTCTTCTCTCAGTCTCCATTTTCTTGCCTGTCTAACAGTGGCTTTCAGGTAAACAGCCCAAGTAGCCCCAGGAATCCAGAAAGCTTTAAGATTATTTGCTCTGCCGGTGACCTTGTCCATAGAAGAAAATGTAAATCTAGAAGTCCTGAGAATCTATACATGCTCATCCCTCACAGCTTTAGTGAGCAGAATATTTCTGGAAGCACTTCAGATGGGGTACATCCTCTTTAGCTCGCTCCCCCCAACTCTAATCACACCCAGTGTGTGAATGTAATTATGCCTCCAATGACCTTAGACCACTCATGATTTCCTCCAGAGAAGGGGGGAGTACAGAGGTCTGCCTTCCCTGGGCACACTGGGTAACCTGATGCACATTAGCCAGAAGGCAGAGGTGAGATGGCTTCTGCCACAGGTACTGGCAGTGATTTAACTCAGGCAAGGGCCCTGAGCAGGTCAAACTGCAATACAGGTCCTGAGAGCTTCCCACATAACTGGCACTCATAGGAAATCTCCCCACTGTGGATGTTCAGATGTGTGAGATACAACTTTTGGTTGATGGCTACTTTATAAAGACTACTGTCAGAACTTCTCCCTGGTGTCATTCCCGTTGACCAAGCAAACACCCTGCACTGCAGAGGCCTTTCTCCAGTTTGAACTTTCTGGTAACAAATGAGGAAAGGCCACTAGCTTAAGGTTTTTTTTACAATGTGACTTCTCTGATGTTTAATGAGGCTGGACTTGTGGCTAAAGAATGTCCCACATTCACTGCATTCATAAGGCCATTCTCCAGTGTGTAGTCTCTGGTGTTGAACAAGTGTGGGTTTAAGGCAGAAGGGTTGCCCACATTCGTTGCACTCATAAGGCTTTTTGCCAGTGTTAACTCTCTGGTGTAAAATGAGGCTGGATCTTTGGCTAAAACAATTCCCATTTTATGCACTCGTATGGCTTTTCACCAGTGTGAACTCTCTGGTGTACAATAAGGCCAGAACTTTGGCTAAAGGATTTCCTACATTCAGTGCACTTACAAGGCCTTTCTCCAGTGTGGATTCTTTGGTGCCAAACAAGTGTGATTTTGTGGCTAAAGAATTTTCCACATTCACTACACTTATAAAGTCTTGCCCCAGTGTGAATTCTCTGATGTTCAATAAGGCCAGAGCTTCGCCTAAAGCGTTTCACACATTCACTACATGCATAAGGTCTTTCTCTAGTGTGGATTTTCTGGTGCTGGACAAGTCTGTATTCCTGGCTAAAGGCTTTACCACATTCACTACACTCATGAGATCTTTCTCCACTGTGAATTTTCTGATGTTGAACAAGTCTGTGTGTATAGCTGAAGGCTTTCCCACATTTGCTGCATTCATAAGGCCTTGCTCCACTGTGAACTCTCTGGTGTACAATAAGCCTGGAGTTATGGCTAAACAGTTTCCCATATTTGCTGCACTCATAAGGCCTTTCTCCAGTGTAGACTCTCTGGTGTTGAACAAGTGTTTGCTGCTATAGGCTTTCCCACATTTGCTGCATTCATAAGGCCTTTTTCCAGTGTGAACTTTCTTATGCCAAACAAGGTGTGAACTTCTGCTGTAGCCTTTCCCACATTCACTGTGCCCATAAGGCCTTACACCCATGTGAACTCTCTGCTGTACCATAAGTCTAGAGTTATGCCTGAAGAAATTTCCACATTCAACGCACTGATAAGGTCTTTCTCCAGTGTTAACTCTTTGGTGTTCAACGAACTTATTTTTGTGGCTAAAGGCTTTCCCACATTCACCTATAATGCCCTTCTCCATTGCGAAAAGTCTCCCTGCATTCAGTGCTTCTAGGTGAATTCCCCTTGCTGTGAGTGGTCTGGTGCTGGAGAAGGCCCAAGCTGGGCAGGAGGTCCTTCCTACAATCCCCACACATAAAGGGATTCTCTGACATGTGGACTCTGCAATTCTTAACAAACAAAAGCCAGTCCTCAACCCTTCTTAAGTGTTTCTCTCCACTGTGCTGCTTCTGTTGCTGGTGAATGCTTACACTGAACCAGAGTTGTTTCACACATGCTGCACACATGTGCAGTTTCTACCTGGGGTATATTCCCTGCTGCTGAGACAGGTACAAAATGTCTTTCAAGACTGGGCCACACATCCCACAAGGGTAGGCCTTCTGGGTGGTTGGACCTGCCTTGGGAGTCCTGAGTTGTAACACGCCTTGAGAAAGTGCCTCCTCATCCTTCATTCAAAACCAACAATCTGAAAGCATGCAGCCTCTGGTGGGAGGGGGCAGCCCTATCACAAATGTACTTCTTACAAACCCAGGAATTAGTACATAGGACTGTTGGAAGGACAAAGGGGCTGAAGTGAGGTAAGAAAGGGTCTGCTGTGCAGTTCTGAGCCTGGCAAGATCATACAATGGGGAGGTCTACTATGGGCAAGGAAACAGGTGGGATGCAGTACAGGAAGAAGAGACTGGGTCTCCCAACTCACTTCTCTGCAAATGGCTTTCAGCAGGGGCTTGTCTGCTAGTGACATGAACACTGAACAAAAGGGGAAATCAACTGCAACCAAGTAGCTGGTGTTCATGTACTGCTTAGAATATGTCTACATCTCACCAATACATTATGTGTAGCTCAATGTTGGAGAGCCCTTCTGAGGGAGCCGTGGAGAGGAACAGGGGAGACCTGAAGGCCAGACAGGCATGGATTAGCCCTGGCCAGAAGTCAGATTAGAAATGATAAAGGGGCAAATTGTCAAGAATGGAGATTAAAAGATAGAAGTAAATTATGGCCCCTGACCTTGGCATGAAAACAACAATGGGCACCAGAGAGGTTCCTGGTGGGATGTGAACCCAGCCCTGACATGAAGCCATCCCTCAGGTCCCACCTCCCAAGGCCAGTCCCCCTCCAGGGCCCTCTTGCTATGGCTGGAGTCAGGCCTGCCCTGTCAGGCACCCACATCTCTCCCTGCAACTCCAGTTGGGCAACTACATGGACCCTGGAAGACACAAGTCCTAAGTGAAAGACAAGGCAGGTGAGTAGACAACACTGGTGCAGAGCAACCCACCCCATGAACACAGGGAAAAAAACTAATGTTACAAAAAGAAACCTGGAGGAGTATCTTATAGGAACAGCCCAGTGGTCCCCACAAGCAGTGACCATGTTGGTGCCTGCAATTCCTGGCACAGTCAGGCATGAGGAAATGCCAGCTGGAGGGAAGGGGACAGACCTGGGGCAGAGAGTTGCAATATATCTGGACAGTCACCCTGCCAGGGTGACCAAGTCTTTGGGATCCACTGGTTTCATTGCAGACTTCCTACTCCCATATCCTTCCCTGAAAGGCTTCAGGGATGCTGAAGGGTTGCTTGGGAGAGGATGGGAAAGTACACTCAGCCAAGCCTGGCACCCACAGCACCTATGAAAGAAAACACAGGAAGGGAGCAATGTCCACAGCCTGGCTGTGTGAAGGAAAGAGTGGCCCCTGGAGAAACAAGGAAGGAAAGAACCCAGTCAAAGACACTTGGCTGAGTGTGAGGGACTTACCCAGTGAGGCTACAAGTGCAAAATTCTCCAACATCACATCATGGTACAGGAGTCTCTGAGTCCCATCAAGAAGCTCCCACTCCTCCTGAGACAAGTCCACAGCCACATCCTCAAAGGTTACAGTGCCCTACCATGATGGGGAAGGCAACGTCCCTGAGCAGCCTCTCTCACCAGGACCCTCAGTTAGTCCCCCAGACATCCACTCCCTGCCCCCACTCCTCTCCAGCTCCAAAACTCAGGATATACGAGGCCCAGATGCCACTGGTGCCAGCATTCTCTTTCCTACTGATCAATGTGCCATCCCACATCCACGATAGGCATGTGGGCAAATAAATGCCATCCAAGCACTGGGTATGGCATGAAAGTCTCCACCTCCACTCTTGCCAGCAAGTTCCGCAAGGGTTCCCAGATCATGCCTCCCAGACACACCAACCATGGGCTCAGTATTCTTCCTTTAAGCTGCTGGGAGCAAGTCCCTGGGACCTTCAGTTCTCACTCTCCCCACTGAGCACACCACTCCACTGACAACACCTCCCCCACATTTCCAACCCCCCACCAACACTGCCACCTCCTCCACCTCAGCCCACACCAAAGGCATCTCCCTGGCCTCCCCACGTGCCACTCTGCACAAGGCATCTGGAGAGTGCTTGCCAAACGCAGTTACGATCCACCCTGCCCCAGAGCCCCGATGGCCCACGCTGGCAGGGGAAGCCCCAGCCCTGCTTTAAAGGCCTCTCCACCATGCCCTTTCCTTGCTTCAGCTTCAGCCACCTAGAGCCACATGCAGGTGCCACATACTTTTTAAATTCTCTTTACTGCTGTTACGCATGCTGTCCCTTCACCAGTCTCAGCCTTCCTCTTTCCAGTCAAGCCTCATTCAAAACCCAGAACTTCCCATCCCCCAGCCCAGGCCTAGCTACTCTCCCAGCTGACCCATTTGCCCCTGAGCTTATCTGCCAGCCTAAGTGAAACCCTGCAGGCCTCACCAAAGGTCACAAAACTCTAGCGTGCTTTTAGAGGGGGGAGTAGGCCTCGGCCTCACTGCCATCTCACCTCCATTACTGCTATGCTCCCACACCCACATCATGTGCACTCCCCCTTGGAAGCCTTGGTGCCCTACCAGACCCACCTCTCCCCCACACCTACCTCCTCCCGCACGGCCACTACTCTCCCTCATCTGCCTTTGTGATGTGCACCAGCCCCATTCAGGTGCTCAAGAGAGAGGCCCAGTCCTCCAATCTGGCCCTCCTCTTCCTTGTCCCCTAACAACACTGTCACCATGATCTGAAGACTCCACCTACTAAATGACTCACAGCTCCACCCCAGTCCACACACAGGCCACCAGCTTGTGGTGTCTCCAACCTGATTTCTTCCCCTGAAATCCAGACCTGTGTCCAGCTTTCCACTCAATGCCTCCACTTGGGCGCGGGGGGGGGGGGGGTCTCTGCTTCTCAGACTCAACATGGCCAAAATCTAACTCCTAATATTCCCTCTTGAAAATTACGCCTACAAGTGATTTCCCCATTCCAGTTAGTGGCATCTCCTTCCTTCCAGCTGCAAAGGCCAAAACTTAGACAACTGCCCTCTCCAGTCAGAAAGTTTTGTTGGACCTGCTTTAAAAACAAATCCACAAACCCCCATCCACAGCCACTACCCTGATCCAGCCACCAACCTGGTCCAGCTGTCACCACACTCATCTAGAGTACTGCAGAAGCCTCCCTCACTCCTACTGTCTGCTCTCTACTCTGCGATCAGAGAAAGTCTGTTTAGACCTGATTCAGACCCTCTTCTACTCCAAAACTTACATGGCTCCCAGTGTCCCCAGCATAGAGGCACAGTTCCTCAGCCTGCCATTTCAGGCCTGACTCCTGCACCCTGGCTCTCTGATCCCATAAGACGTAATGGAGAACTGCGGTTGCCACTCAGTCTCACCTCTAAGCATTTGCACAGGGTGATTCCCATACATTTAATACCTTCTACAGGACAGACTATTAGTGGCCAGAAACCAGGGACCCCTCCATATAACCCCTGGCCTGGATTCAGGGTCTTGAGTCTGAGGAGAGGCCTCAGAACCAATGACAACAGTAGAGCGGCAGGCAGGGGGTCCCAGGACACATCCTGGAGACCATGAGTGGGAGATGGGGAGAGTGAGGGCCTGAGCCAATCTTTACTTACCTATGCATTGCTCATTAAGTGTTTCTGAAGCCATGGAAACCTGTAGGAAGAGTGAGACTATGAGTGAAGGGCATCCATGGTAGGGTCTCAAGGGCTGATCCAACCTCCTATGCCTACCCTGAAGCAAGATGACCTGACTTTAACTTCTGGGCTTCAGTCCTTGGTGCTGCCTCTTGCCAGCTGTGTAACCTTAAACTAGGACTCAATCTTCCTGTGCCTCAGTGTTTTTATCTCTAAAATGGGCATAAAAATGGTACCAACCTCATAGGGCTAATATTGGTATAATATGCCTTAGTGTATGTCAAGTGTTAAATATGAGCTATAACTACCATCCACAGAATTGAGGCTTTTGTCAATGTTTTCAGTGCAAATGACTTAATGGATTTTGAAATTTTAGATGTGTGTTATATTTACCTTTTGAGTATTTGAGAAAATGTAATATTTAAGACTTTTTAGTGTCTTAATATACTGATTTATGGTATATTAAGGTGTGAACCAAATATTAAGTGTTTGCATAAACTTGTTAAATTCATACATTTCAGTGTTGAATTGAAATGCCTACCTATACCTACACATTTAGAATACTGATCTCTCGGTGTTGAAATGAGTGGTTGTTTCATAAACTCCTAGTTAAAAATGGGGAAAGAGGGCTGAGTGGATGCTAGTTTTCCTATCCTTTAAAATCTTCTCATAGAGACTTCCTTGGTGGCCCAGTGGTTAAGACTCCGCACTCCCAATGCAGGGGGCCTGGGTTCAATCCCTGGTCGGGGAACTAGATCCTGCAAACATGCCGCAACTAAGAGTTCTCATGCCACGACTAAGAGCCCACATGCTACAACAAAGATCCCACATGCCGTAACTAAGACCCTGAGCAGCCAAAATAAATTATTAAAAAAAAAAAAAGTCTCATAATTGGATCACTTCTCCCCACTCTACAGCCACCTCTCCGGTCCAGCCTCCATGGTAATTCTGGTCTGTTTGCAGTAGCCTCCACAAGGTCACCCCATATCCACCATCCTTAACTGCCCACCCCTACCCTCTACCCCGCACGCAGTTTGATCTCTCAGCATCCTTTAGGAAACTTTTAGAATTCTAGCTCAAATCTAGTCTATCTGCTCACAACTCTCCGTGGCTCCCAGCGTATTCAGAATGCAGGCCCAGCTGCTCGGGCAACTACCATTCCACATAGCGCTCATGCGCTCACAATGTTTCCATAAGGAGACTCGCCCCAGGTTTCCCGAATGCTCCTCTATCGCACCTCCATGGCTCTGCACATGTTGGTCCCTCTGCATGTAACAGTCCTCTACTCATTACACTGGGTGTCAGAAATGGGGACTCCACCCAGGAACGCTCCACTGTCTTAAAGGGGACAACCTAAAGTGACCTGAGCAAGCGCCCCTCATTCGAAGCTTTAGGGTTCGGAGGTGGGGGTCTGGGCAGGTGAAGGCCTGCGGCACAGAGCATCAACCTCTGCTGGGTCCCTCAGCACAGCCGCCAGGGAGCCTGTAGCGGAGCGAAGCCGGGAGAGCCGGGCGACCAAGCCCGGGCGCCGCGGGCTCAGCCAAACCCCTACCCCAGCCCCCCGGGCGGAGTCACACCAGGCGGCGCCCTCTCCGAGCCACAGACCCGCCTCTATGAGCTGCAGACACCGTCTTCTCTCGCCCCTTCCCGCTCACTTTACCTCGGGCCGGACCAAGAGCTGCATAACCGGATCAAGCCGACCGACCCAGGGTCACCAAAATGACCGCCGCCGGGAGAGCGCCGGAAGTCCCTCCTTGACAGGTTTCGCAAAGTATGAGAGCGTCCTTCTCCTCGGCCTTCATTGGCCCAGCGCCGCAGACGCGCAGCGCAGAGACATCTGGGTAATGTAGTTTTCACCCAGACGCGGACGCTAGCTAGGGGCGCCGTTTGCAGACCTCTCGCCAAAGGCCAAGATGCCCAGCAAGAGGTTCTCCGAAGTGGTGACCCGAAGTTTCCGTAAAGAGATGGGGTCTCGCTCTCGCTCCTTTCAAAGGGGCGCACGAAGATTTCCGTGGTGTGTACTCTGCAACCGATCACAGAAATAGAGACATTGTAAGCCGCATAGCACAGGGAGATCAGCTCGGTGCTTTGTGACCGCCTGGAGGGGTGGGATACGGAGGGTGGGAGGGAGGGAGACGCAAGAAGGAAGAGATATGGGAACAAATGTATATGTATAACTGATTCACTTTGTTATAAAGCAGAAACTAACACACCATTGTAAAGCAATTATACTCCAATAAAGATGTAAAAAATAATAATAATAAAAAAAGAAAAAAGAAAAAAAAAAGAAATAGACATTGTATTATGCTTCACAAAGCTACAAAATCAAAAGACACACGAAAGCTTGTCATTTCCATACGCAGTGAATCCACTTATTATCTGGAAGCTAATAAATATTATCTTATTTCTCTTCAAATACATGTGGGTTGAAGTCGATTTTATGGGCTACAGTATATTTGGGCAGTGACAAGAGAGAAAAAGTCTAGACAGGGTCATACTGGGGAAAATGGGGGAGGGATGTTGGGTGACTGAGCAGGTGGTCAAGTATGGAACTCTGCTGCCGTTCCCACAGTAAACATCCCTGTCTATGTAGTCAGTGACTGTGTTCAACCCAGGAGCGTAACTGGAGGAGGCTGGTATCCTACCCAAATTCAGCTGCTCACTGTTGGAAAGGTGGATACTGGAGAGACAAGGGTTGCTGGAAAAGGAAAAATTGCTTCATTCAGGAGGCGGCAACCTGGGAAAATTGCACTAATGTCCTAAGACCATCTCCAAGCATCTGATTAGGAGACAAAGGTTTTGTTTTCTGGTTTGTTTTTAATTTATTCTTATTGAAGTATAGTTGATTTACAATATTGTGTTAGTTTCTGGTGTACAGCAAAGTGATTCAGTTTATATATATATGTGTGTGTATATATGTGTATATATATATATATATTCTTTTTCATATTCTTTTCCATTATGGCTATTACAGGATACTGAATATAGTTCCCTGTGCTATACAGTAGGACCTTCTTGTTTATCCAGTCTATACATAATAGTTTGCATCTGCTAATCCCAAACTCCGAATCGATTCCTCCCTCACCCCTGTCCCTTGGCAACGAAAGGTCTGTTGTCTATGTTTGTGAGTCTATTTCTATTTTGTGAATAAGTTCATTTGTGTCATACTTTAGATTCCATATATAAATAGGACTTCACTGGTGGCACAGTGGTTAAGAATCCGCCTGCCAATGCAGGGGACACGGATTCAATCCCTGGTCCAGGAAGATCCCACATGCCGTGGAGCAACTAAGCCTAAGCGCCACAACTACTGAGCCTGCACTCTAGAGAGCCCGTGAGCCACAACTACTGAGCCCATGTGCCACAACTACTGAAGCCCACGCACTTAGAGACCATGCTCCACAACAGGAGAAGCCACTGCAATAAGAAGCCTGTGCACCACAACGAAGAGTAGCCCCCACTCACCGCAACTAGAGAAAGTCCACGGGCAGCAACAGAGACCCAATGCAGCCAAAAATAAATAAATAACTAAATTTTTAAAATAAATGAAATAAAATAAAATAAATGGTATCATATGGTCTTTGTCTTTCTGACTTACTTCACTTAGTATGAAAATCTCTAGTTCCATGTTGCTGCAAATGGCATTATTTCATTATTTTTAATGGCTGAGTGGTATTCCATTGTGTGTGTGTGTGTGTATATATATATATATATATATATATATATATATATATATATATACATACTACTTCTACTTTATCCATTCATCTGTCGATGACACTTAGGTTGCTTCCATGTCTTGGCTATTGTAAATGGTGCTGCTATGAACACTTTCGAATTATAGTTTTGTCCAGATATATGCCCAGGAGTGGAATTGCTGGATCATATGGTGATTCTATTTTTAGTTTTTTGAGGAACCTCCATAATGTTTTCCATAGTGGCTGCACCAATTTACATTTCCACCAACAGTGTAGGAGGGTTCCCTTTTCTCCACACCCTTTCCAGCATTTGTCATTTGTAGACTTTTTAATGATAGCCATTTTGACCAGTGTAAGGTGGTACCTCATTGTGGTTTTGACTTGCATTTCTTTAAGAATTAGCAATGTTGAGCATCTTTTCATGTGCCTATTGGCCATCTGTATGTCTTCTTTGGAGAGATGTCTATTTAAGTCTTCTGTCCATTTTTTGACTGGGTTGTTTGGTTTTTTGTTATTGCGTTGTAAGAGCTGTTTGTATATTTTGGAAATTAAGCCATTGTTGGTCGCATTGTTTGCAAGTATTTTCTCCCAGCCTATGGACTGTCTTTAATTTTTTTAACATCTTTATTGGCGTATAATTGCTTTACAATGGTATATTAGTTTCTGCTTTATAACAAAGTGAATCAGCTATAAACACACATACATCCCCATATCTCCTCCCTCTTGTGTCTCCCTCCCACCTTCCCTATCCCACCCCTCTAGGTGGTCACAAAGCACCAAGCTGATCTCCCTGTGCTATGTGGCTGCTTCCCACTAGCTATCTATTTTACATTTGGTAGTGTATATATATCAATGCTGTGGGTTGTCTTTACATTTTGTTTATGGTTTCCTTTGCTGTGGAAAAGCTTATAAGTTTGATTAGGTCCCATTTGTTTATTTTTGCTTTGATTTCTATTGCCTAGTGAGACTGACCTAAGAAAACATTGGTACGATTTATGTCAGAGGATGTTTTGCCTATGTTCTCTTCTAGGAGTTTTATGGTGTCATGTCTTATGTTTAAGTCTTTACGCCATTTTAAGTTTCTTTTTGGGTATGGTGTGAGCATGTGTTCTAAATTCACTGATTTACATGTGTCTGTGCAGCATTCCCAACACCACTTGCTGAAGAGTTTGTCTTTTCTCCATTGTATATTCTGCCCTAGGAGACAAAGTATTTATGATATCATGAATGTCATACTGAAAGAGAGAGAGACAGAGAGACAGAGAAACCAGTTGTGACTGATGGATAATTAACCATTGGAGCAATGTTAATTAAAACGTTAATCCACATAAATCCACAGGAAAAGCCTCGGTAGATCCACCTCGATGGTTTTAATCTTTGGCCATTTTTCTCAATGCTATTTTTTTTTTTTTTTTTTTTTTTTGCGGTATGCAGGCCTCCCACTGTTGTGGCCTCTCCCGTTGTGGAGCACAGGCTCCAGACGTGCAGGCTCAGCGGCCATGGCTCACGGGCCCAGCCGCTCTGCGGCATGTGGGATCTTCCCGGACCGGGGCACAAACCCGTGTCCCCTGCATCGGCAGGCAGACTCTCAAGCACTGCACCACCAGGGAAGCCCTCAATGCCATTTTTAAAAAATCCATTCTTTCTTCATGATTCAATAAATTGTTATTATTATATCTTACACTATCTTTGACTCTATCCATGTGTTTTCTCTTCTGTCACAATGACCACCTAAATATTCCTCCACTAAAGCTAGACTATTTATTAGTTGGAGACATACTTCAGTTGCAGTGCTCGGTGAGAACAATCCTCTGTACAGTTCCTGTTTTTCAAAATATCCTTGGTTGACTTCAAGCGTTTATTTTGGGGGGCAAATATTAAGTCAATCTTCATTCCAACAAAGATGAATTTAGATGGGTTTGGGAACAGATGACATTTCTACAATGTCAATTCATCTCATACAAGGATATGATTTAGCTCTTTATCTGTTCAAATTTTATTTTGCACTTTTCAACAAAATTTTACATCTTTTTAGGATGACCTGAACACTTAATACTAAGCCTAGCAGAGCATCCAGCACTTGGCAGATGTAAAAATCAAGGTGTAGAATGAACAAACGGGTGAATTGAAATACTTAAGTTCAGCCATCAGGTCAAAGAAAAGCCAGGCTCAAGGCCCTGGCCTCTTAGCCCCAGGTCCCAAGTTCAGCTCCTGGTATGTGACCTTATTTTGCCCACCTGGCCAGACAGTAGAGAGATTTTACCAGTTATGCCACTCTTTTTGCGGGCCATGCTCACTGTAGCTGACATTGCCCTAGACCCTAGGAGACAGAGGTAAAGCCTAGTCCCTTCCTTGTAGCTTCACAAGTCTCCTACTGGTAACGCAATTACCCATTTCGTGCTTTTAGACGTAGGCTCGGAGGGTTCGGGACACGTGCCCCATGTGGCACATCCTGCAATTAAGACTCCAGAGCCTGAGCTCTTTCCATGACAACAACACTGCCTCTGGGTTAGCTTCTTCCATCCACTCCCTCCCTCCTGGCCCAAGACTTCATGGGGGTCCTGGTCCCAGTGGCAGAACCCAAGGACAGCAGTGGTACTAAGTGTCCTTGAAGAAAGGTCAGGATCCTCAGAAGACATCCACCTAAGAAGTAGAAAATGGTGAATGCTAGTGGGAAAAGGAGGGGACTTGCGATGAGCTTACTCAGGTCATCTCCGGAGTCACCCTCCAATAACTGGAGGGGCATTTAAAGGACTAGAGGCTCTGCAACTGTGATAAAGGCCAGAGTGGGAGATATACTATGCTATCTGTGGCCCCAGACAACACTTTTATCTTTCCAGGCTGGTGAAGTCGGGGTTTAGATATGTGTTATTTTGCTTAATCTTCACACACAATCCCCATTTCGCAGATGAGGGAATGGCCTGAGAAAGTTACAGCAAACTTGCCCATGGTGCCACAGCTTGCCAAGGACAGAGCCTAGGCTTACCCTGGTTCTGACTCCAGTCCCCATGCTCTCAATGACCACATGTGTCACTTCTCACCATCTCCCAAGATCTCCTGCGGGGCCTCACAACCTCCCCGCACAGCACACAGACAGTGGGCACGCTGAGCGAAGCGGCAGTCATTTTATTAGAGTCAGGTTGGGACAGGTGTTTGGATTCTAGCTTCAGCTGATAAGGAGAACGGGGCAGGAAGACCAAGCGTAGACCAGGCATCACTCGCAAAGATTATCTCCTCAAGGGGAGCAGTTTGCAAATATCTCCTAGAACATTATCCATCGCCGTGGACACTGTATAGTTAACACATTCATCACTGAGGAGGATGGAACCCTGGGAGAGAGTAGGATGA